AATTAGTTTTGTATAACATTACATTGAATATCATTATTGTATTATAAATATGTTGTATAGGTAAGTAGGTATACATATGTATATTATACATAATAGGTAACGTGCTCTTGACAGATGATTGAATTTGACATTCAACTAAATTTTTCTCAATTTATACATTAAACCAAAAATTTATTATAATCGCATTGTATAAAATTTTTAGTTCTCTTTTTGTTTTTTTTTTTTTAATAAAACTTTGAAAACTAAAACTGTTATTTCATTTTTATATATGTACTACTACTCTGTTGTTAAAAAATAATATTATAATTTTATTTGATTATTTTTGGTTGACAGCACAAATTCATGAAGAGAAACCGCACACTACAATATTTTGTGTAGCTACTTACATATTTATAGGTATAAATTTATATTTTGTAAAAATTTTAACTAATATATAATAAAAATGTGCATTGCACATTTGCAATATACACACACATACACATACACACTTGTAGAAAATTTATAAATTTTGTGATGTTGGCGATTTAATTCAGTCAAGTTCAAGTTTAAAAAATATATTTGTTGTTGTTGTTATTTGTTAAATAAACTAAGTATAGAGAATGATAATTAAAATACTAGTAGGTATGTATGTATGTATTTTGAAAGAGATGTAAAGATTTAAATTAAGTTGATCTTCAATATCGTCATTAAAAAATTATTTTTAAATTTTGTATTTTGTTTTTATTTTTAGGTAAAAATTTTGCTTTGCATGCTTTTTAGAAATGTGATTATATGTCAAGGTGAGAAGTTTTTTTTTCAATTTTTGTTTTTGGCATATCAAACAAAATTTATGCACGTTATTATGATTGAAAATTTAATATTATATAGGAAAGCAAAAGATACAGAAGATCACGGTAATTTTATAAATGTTGTTTACATAAAAAAATAATGCAAAAAAAATAATCACTCACATTTACACTTTACATTACAAGTTTTGTTGAAATTTTAAAATATTTTAAGAATATAAGAAAATTATAGGAACAATTGAAAAAATTTTTTATATATTACAGATTATAATTTAATTTAATAATTTATTGTTAGTCACTTGTGACCCCTTAATAAATTTATTCTTTAAGTTGAAAATTATGCTTGAAACTAAGGTGAGTTTAACAAGATTTTGTTTAATAATTTGATCCGAGGGTGTTATCTAATTTACACGTTGTCTAATTTAAAAAATTAAGGTTGTTCCATTCAAATTCCCACGAAAACCGATTTTTCTAAAAAATTTTATGGGGAAAATGGGTCTAAGAAATATGATTAGAAAATTGTAATCAATTTTTTCTATTCGAACACTTGTTATAAAAACACTATGAAAGTTTACACATTCTTGCATTCATATATTTAGTTGCTTCCATTGTATATTTATTTTATAAGCCGAAATTGCAAATATTTAACATCAACTTTTAATTTCCCACAAATGCAAAATAAATTTATTAACATTTTCAACTTTAACCACATTTCGACCAGTTTATTACATGTAAACATAGCGCTATAAATATTAATAAAAACATTATTATTAATAATCTTCAAAGAGGTTAAAACAAAGCAAAAACCCAAAAAAAGTATAAGAAATAAAACAAAAAATTTTCAATACAAAATAAATTGAATGCCTTTGTTGGCTTACACTAAAAATTTTCAATATGAATTTTTGAGTTTTTAATTTTTTTTTTATTCTCTGAATTTCTTTCGATCTTGTTTTATTGATACCATAATTATGAAAAAAAAAAGAGAACCAAAAAAAAATTTTTTTGACATGAGAAAATGTCATAATGCGACAAGTTTTTATTTTTTTTTGTTTATTTCCGGTATTGGTATTTAATTCAAATCCGGAAGAACATCATTTCATTACAATTATTTTATGCCTAAAAAACAAAATTAAATAATGTATAATAGCCTCCAAATTTTTTTTAAGTTTCTGAAGATGCTGTTAATGTTGTTATAAAACTAGAGTGGTTTTCTTTTGAATATCAAATTAATTTTTGCTTTTTCAAATTACTAAAAATATTCTAAAGCTTAAGTTGTAAAATATTAAAAATTTATTATTCGTTTTATTGTTATTTTATTACAGTTAATTAAGAGTCAGCTGTGTAAGTGTTAGTAATTACTTTACAAACTTTTCTAGCAAAAAATTTACTAGGTATATATTTGTTTCAAATAGAGAACAAAAGAAGCAAACCAATAGTAAAGCACATGCATACTTTATTTGTCATTTTTCTGAAGCGTAAAAAGCAATTGGAATATAATGGCCGCCTGATAATATGCAATAAACGCCTGATATTATGCAATATAGTAATGAAATTAATTTTGAATTTTTGTTTAACTTTCAGTCAAATTTAATTTTCAAACTTGGTATTTTGTATGAAATTTGTTATTTAATGTTCACAGTGCTCTCAAAATTTCCCAAAATTAAAATTTTATTTTATTCTGTCAAAAAAATTTTATTGACAAAAATATTGAAACAAACATATACATAATATATGTATGTAGCAAGATTCTAAATTTTTATTTAAGAACTAATAAAATTAATATTTTCTCAATTTTAAAAGTTCTCTTTTAATGTCACTTTTCGAGAATTTTTAATTTCCCTTATAAACATTTTACAATTTGTCTTTTTTTTTGTTTTTAATTTTGTATTATACATATTATATGCCGTTCAATCATAAGGTCTTTGAAATGTCACATTGTAATATTGAGGAGAATATAGGAGATAATTTTAATTAACATACATATACTCATTAAAATTAATATTGCCTCTGTTTATTGTAAAATGTAATAAGTAACATGTATCACATTATGAGAATCGAATAATTAAATAATGGTTACTATTTGCTTAAATTTAATTTTGTTATACATATTTTATTACAAAAGATTCAACCAAATTCATATACAATTCAAAATTTGTGTGATTATATACGATCATATAAACTTGCTCCATATTTCTCTCTTATACTTTATTGTTCATTATTATTACACATTTTTATATTGTATTGTATTGGATACTCTAATCAACACACACATAATATATTATTAATATTATACATGCATGTATTTATTCTACTCGCATGAAAAAATCAGTCAGGAAATAATTTTCATTATTTTCTCGCATACACACATTATTTTACTCTCATGCTGTGCTGCTTACTAGCCAATCTTTTATTTAGTCAACTCTTTATTCTCTTCTTTTATTTTTTGTTGTTATTTTCATTAAATTAGTTTATGTAGTGCGATGATAGTGATATTGAAACAGTAGTATAAAAGCACAATATCACTCAGCAAAAATTTTTACGTACAATATAAAATTCTTTCGTGAGAAGATAGGGAAGATAGAAAAGAACAAAACGAAAAAGAAAAAAGTAAAATATATCTTCATTATAAAAATGTGATTGTGTTGGTGTGCGATTTTTAAAAAAATTTATAAAATGAGAACTTAATCAACAAAAAAGAAAACTTTTTTTCTTTTTTTGTTTTTGCATAGTAAAAAAATACTATATAGAAGTAAACAAAAAAAAAAAATACTCAAAATTATGGCAGTATTTTTGTTAAAAATAAAAATAAAATAAAAAAAAAATTTTTGCGATGGCATAATGTTTGAATACACAGAGATTTTTGCGTTCAATTTGGAGGTCAAGGTTGGACAAACTTTAAAAAAAAGTTTTTTTTTTTTCGTATGTTTTTCATTATTTTTTTTTTGTGTTTTCGTAGGTTTTTAGTGTGATCTTTTGTTATAGTATTGTTGGTGTTCTTTTTAGTATTTTGAAATTTTTTATTTTATTTTATTCGTAATTTGCCTATAATATTTTATAAAATAGCAAGAAAAAAGAAATTTTTTATGTACATACATACATACATACATAAATATTTTTTAAATTAACATTAATTTACATTTTTGGAACTAGAACTAGATTTGCTTATTTGTTTTTTATTGTTTTAATTAAATGTAGACCTATTGTACATACATACATATTTCATATTATTCATTTTTATGATTTATGGGTTCGTCATCGTTTAAAGACTACCTAATATTGAAGTTTATTGTAACTTTATACATTTTTAGTGTTTAATTTATTTTAAGACAACAAATGTACATGTATATGTATGAATGTATGTGGAGGTATGTACATAATGTATACATATTAATAACCAGATTTAGTAAATAAATTATTCTAATTTTAAAATTAAGATAAATAAATTAATGTTGCGGGCCTCTGTAATAAAAAACAGAAATAGTTCAAGAACAAATTTTTGTTTAATGACTTTTCTAAGAACACTAAATACATATGTAAGGTTTCATTCTAGGGTTCAATATGAGTTAGTAATATAATGAAAAGTTTAGATTAGATTTAGATTCTATCTCCACTTACATTTTTCTTCAAGAAATTTAAAAATAAATTTGTCAAAGCTTTATTAATACTTTTTGAACAGTACTATAGTCATTGGTAGTATTGTAATTACCGGTTACTAACATTACGAATTAATAATGTATTTATTGTCAAGGTGCTTTCTTGATTCAAAGTTCTGGTTGTTTTTGCTCGAATACGTTATGTGTGTTTAAAAACAATAATTTGTTTAATGCTATTTTATATGAGGCAAGAAAGCGAGCATCCCACTAACAAGTACTTAATAAAATTTTACAATTAAATTTGGGAATTGCAAATTAATTAAAAGTACTATTTTTATTATTATACTTTTTCAATGAATTTCCTTATTTTTATGAGTCTTTAAAGTGCCTATATAAAATGTAAACTTGTTCACCTTTTAAAATTTCAAAAAATATTAAATTAATTAAAATTTCTTCTAGTACTTAAACATGAAAGTAAATTTAACCTTAATTTCAGAAAAATTAAGTTTGACTGCTTCTTCTTATATCTAAATTTAAATAGTCTTAGTTGAAACATAAAATATAATTATAACGTGTAAGATTATCCAAAGATATTTTATTCATCATTTTCGTAAAAACTTACCAATATTTAAATCAGGCTCTCCTTTAACAGAGCTAGCAACAGTAGTATCCATTACTGGGTAGCTTTTTATATAATCAGGAGTTTGAGGTCTTAAATCTTGATTATTAACGATCATATTTCCAGAGTTATTAACATTATAATTATTGTTATTATGATTAATATTAATATTATTATTATTGTTATGATGATGACCGTTTTCATTACCAATTAATGATGTAACAGAATTGGATAATGATCTACTTGTTATATTGTTGCAATTGTTATAATATTTATCAGAGTTAGTATCACCGCTCGTACTAACAACAATACAACCAAGCGAATTAGATCTTTCTCGCATAGGGCAACTTGGTCCATTATTATGATCTTTTTGTTCACATTTTGAAACATTTCCATTTATATTATTAAATTTATTATTATTAATTGAAATTTTATTATTTTGGTAATTATTACCACCACTAATATAATTATTTGAGTGTAAGTTATTTAAACTATTACAGCGATTATTATTTAAAGAGTTGTTACTATGGTGAGTATCAGAATAATGCTGATGGTGTTGATGATGAAGATTCGATATAGCTGGAGGACCCATTAAAGGATTTTGTGAATTTAATTGTGATCCAGAATTCATATTATTAGATATAGGCGGTGGCGGTGGTGGTGGTGGTAAAAGCAATTGTTCTTGATGAATTTGATGTTGATGAGATGTTGAATGCATTTGAGGTTGTTGTAATTGCTGTTGCTGTTGTTGAGACCGTGTTGGTGTTGGAGATCTACTTCGGCTACTATTCACATATATAACATTACTGTGAGGGATTTTACGTGAAATAACCGTTAATCCATTTGAATGATTTTCACCATTAATATTACAATTAATATTATTGGATTTGTAGTGATGTTGACCTGATGATGACGGTGTCAAAAGTGAAGTGGGTGATGATGATGTTGAAGTTAAATTTTCCTCTGATGGTTCAGTTTTTATTTTAATTATTGTTGTATCATTTGGATAATATTGTTGTTGAATTGTTTGATATTTTCTTGATGCAACAGTATTTATTGTATTATTCTGTTGCTGATGATGATTATATTGATTACATTGCATTGGTCTTGAAATATTAGACTGTTGTTGATTTGAAGCTGATGATGAAGATGAGCTTGTTGGCATTGTATTTGACATTATTGTTGATGAGGGTCTTGAACATTCATTATTTTTAGTAACCGAACTTGGTGTTGGTAGTATATTATTAGTTGGCATAATTGATGTACTTGATGGAACTTGGACGCGTATTACCGATGTTATTGGCATTTTTGTAATAGTACTACAATCTGAACTATCCGCAGACATAAGCATTTTGAGAGAAAATTTCAATTTTTATTTTTCTCACTTATTATAATTCAAAAATTATTTTATTCAATAGTATAATTATATCAAAAACACTTAAATTTTTCTTAATTTTTACATATCTTTTTAAATACATAAATTTATTACGAAAATTAATTTACTTAACTTATTTAATTAATTTAAACTTAGTGAATACTTAAAAGGCAGTTTGCAGTTATTATTTTTAAACTTTGTTAAAATATTTTTGACATGTAGTTTTGACATTTAAAATTTTAAATGATTGTGTCAGTCTCTTAAAATTTCCTGTTTGGATATGAAAATTTTGTTTTATTTGCGGCAGTACAATACAAAAAAAATATTTTTTTTTGCTAAATTTTTCACTTAAAATATCCAAGAATTTTGACATTAAAATTTAAGAGAAAATGATTAAAGAATTTAATTTTTTCCCTTTATTTTTTAAATTTTTTTTTCTCTTAAACAATTTGAATTTTTCATTTTTTTTTTTTAATATTACAAGTAAATATTTAATTTTCAAATTTATTTTTAATGAAAATTAAAAAATATGATTAAAAAATAATGAAAATCATAAGTTTGCCATAGAGTTTTCCAAAATTTTAATTGACAGCTGATTTATGAATTTTTCAAAAGCTTTGAGGCTTTTCACAAAAAAATTAATAATTTTTCTATTCTATATTTTTTTCTTGTTTTCTTTTTTCTATATGGTTTTTATAAAGAAAAACTATTATTAATTCACAAAATACATAATTAATTTTTATCAATAATAATTTGTATGTACACACATAAAAATAAAACAGAAAAAAAGTAATAAAAATTAAAAATAAAAAAAATGAAAAAACAATCTAAAATCGCGCGATTCTCCGCGACATTAAAACTTCACAACGATCGCGATCGACTTGACAGACTAAAGTGAACTTTTATTAATGAAAGGAAAATTTCCTAGCAAAAATTTTACTTAAAAAAAATAATAACAATAAAAAAAAATAATTTGTTAGTTCACAACACAATATTCAATGTTTGTGTTGTATCAAGTTAACTAGTGTAAATATATATATATATATATATTACTCATATATATATATGTATTTACTCAAATAACATTGTGTATATTATACAATATAGTTAGTGAGAATAAAAGTAAAAAATAAATTCGAAAATAAATTTAATTAAAAATGACAAAAAAAAAAGTAAAAAATTCATTTCATTTTTTATATCATAAAATATAAAACACTAACACCAATGTCACCGATAAAAAAAAAACACTCTTACTCTCTGCACAACTACAAACAAAATTCAATATTCTGTATCTATACAAAAATTTTATTATACAATGTGGCTTTACTTAACATTATTGTATTTATTATTATGAATGTGCTGTAAATCGTGATCTACATATAGGTAGTGTATATCACTATTGAACTACATTATTCACATGTGTTAATGCGATCGTAAGATTATTTTTCTACGAGAATATTATTATTATTGTAAAAATTATATGAATGTGAAATTGAGAGTAAATGGGAAATTTTTTACTCTTTTAAATTTTCAATATAAGGCATATTCAATTAAACACACATTTATAAAATATTTTTATTTTCAGGCATCAGTATAGTTTATGCTATGCTACTTTGAAAATGTTATTTTACAAAGAATAAATTATAAAGAGTTAAAATTTTCATAATAATTAGAGATATTTTAATAATACATAGAGCATTAGAGACATCACATTTTATTTATGAGAGCATATTCGAGTAAAAATAATTTAATATATTTTTCTCATTATACATTCACAACACAAAATGTATTTTCTCATTTGATTTCTTAAAGGTGAGTGAGTAACAGTAACAATATTGAATATTTTGTGGATGTAAAATAAATATTAAATGGTAAAAATAATGTGATGATCATGACATGACGTAAAAAAAAGTATGTATTTCATTTTACATAGTTTATGTTATGTCTGACTTTGCTAGCCAATGTTATTATTGTGCAATTTTTTTTCTTTTACTTTTTAATATTGAAAAAGAATTTTTGGTATAGCAAAAAAATGAAGGAAGAAAGTGAATAAAAGAGAATGAGAGATTATTTATTTTTTTTTTATTTTTCTCTTTTTAGTGATTAGATAACGATATGCATATTATGTATGATTGTGTGTTGTATGATTTATAGTAAGAGTAAAGTAGAAAATGAAATGGAAAATTATTTCTTTGGCTTTTTTTGTAATGTAGGCAGTAGAGAATAATAAAATTGTTAAATTATTTTATTTTCCTTGTAAATACGAAAAAAAAATGTTTTTCCTTGTTCTTTTTTTTTTTTTTTTTGTTTCCTAATACATTTACAAAATTCGGCCATAAATTCTTTCAATTTGAATTTAATTAAATTTATTAAATTTTTACAAAATTTTAAAATTTCTGATATCATACGTTCAATACCATTCAATATCATATTATAACGTATGTGTACAGTCAAGGTAAATTTCGAAGTTTAAACTAAAATATTTAATCATTTTATTTTACTATACGGTACAATAAACTATTTGAAGGATTAAAATGATTGTACAGTTTGTTTGCTTATTTATTTTAAAATTTATTGTTCATACATAATTTTTGTCATTTAGCTTTGCCGTTTAGATCATGTAAACTCGAAAATTGACTCTACCATTTTGTAAAGAGTTAAAAATTTTTTACAATAGAAAGTTTTTGTTTTTTTCTTCAAAATTGATTTTTCTTTTTTGTAATTTAATAATTTCTTGCATGAAGAAAAAGTTTATTAAACTTCAACAAAATAATTGTGAAAAATTTTACAAATAAAAAAAATTCAAATGTACATTGCAAGTTAGTAGAACTTATATAAAGTAAGCATATCTTTCGAATTTAAAATACAGCAAACATAATGAAAGCATGAATGTAGTTCAATTTGTAATGACATTAAAGATTGTATAACAAGTTTTAAAATTGTGAATTGGTTTCAAATTGTTTCACAACATAAGACTTTTAAAATAAATTTAACCACTTGTGGTGGGTAACGTGGTTGGTCCGGTTTTATTGGGTCAAATTTCCTACAGAAAGAAGCCTAGTAATTGAAGGTCAGAAGAGCTTTTTGATGTTCGACGTTATAGTAAGGACTATGACATGCATGATTCGGTGACGCGTATGCTGAGCGAATTTGACTTGTATACGTCTATTTTTTGTACGAACATATGTAAGTAAGAGAGTGCTTAAGGCCAGTAATTGTGTACGTTTGGTTTTAGCTCTTTATTCTTTAACGCTGGTGTACATTTGATATTATATAGATTCAAAAGAAAAATAATTTTTTACAAAAATGTTGATTATTTTTATTATTTTCATATTTTTCTTAAAATCTCGTATTCTTGATGATCCTTTTATTGTTTTGTTTTGTTTTTTTGTGATTGAAACGGAAATTATTTTGAATGTTTTTATTTTAAAATGATTTTAAGAGTGCGCGTATATGTGTGCGTGAATTCGATAATTGAATTCGTAATTTTGTTATGTTATGAAGGCTGAAATACAACGTAATAAATTAATTTATGACCTCATTTTAATTTTTGGTAAATAAAAGACAAACAAAAATATTTTATATTAAATTTTGACACACGTGTAAATTTAAACTTTGGCATTCCTTTTTCAGATTTAATTTTTTTATTTTAATTTTGATTATAAAATATTGAAATTTTTTCGTTGTAAATTTTGTAAATTTTCTAGATATTGTTTTTAAAATATTAGAGCTCGAAGTTTCCATGTAAAAAAGTAAAAATATTTTGGAATCCTTCATTTTTCCTCAGGTTTTGTTTGGGAATACCGGAATATCCTATCATATTGTGGGTTCAAGTAGAAAATTATAGTTTATTTATGGGTCGATAAATTTCTGGCAGTTATTCGCTTTCGATATTTCACATTAAATAATTAGTATTGGTACGAAATTGCATTTAAATTTTTTGAACATTTTTAACCTTGTTTTCTTGTCTTCAGCATCCCATCCTTTTATAGCACAGAAACCCTCCTCACATTAATTTCCTTATAAACTAAAAATGTTATGATGAAACGATGATGTAAAAATGATATGATGGGTAATTTTGTCCTTCTTTTTGTTTTTTTTTTACAAATAAAACATAAAAACACGAGATGATAAAATAAATAAATAAAAATAAAAAATTATCAAACAATATCCAAAAAGATATATGTATATAATTGTATGTGAATACTTAAAATTGAATTGCTGTTCTTGTTTTCACGAAAATTCACAGAAATAAGAACACGCGCTTCATTTTTACGGGAGTGTAAATGACCTTAACTTTTATTCAATAAAATATCAGAATGATGTGTCATGTAAGATTTTGAGTAATTTTTATAAATATTCGAAGTGGAAATAATTTTATAAATATTCTGTGACTTAAAAATTATCTTAGTATTTGATGAAATTAAAGCACTAATAATATGAATTTATTCATTTACATACTATTATAGCAAAAATTAATTAAAAATATTAATATCTATATCAAAAAAAGAGAAGGCAGTGTAATCTCACTATATTTCTTTGAATTAGTATCGGAAACATACCATTAATACCGGAATTTGTATCGGAAATGGACATAAAATATCCACCTTTCTCTCAAATACATAAAGATACTCAAAAACACTGTTTCCTAATGTACTAAATTTATAACACTCCTTCCTACTACATAACCTTAGGAAGAGAACAAAATTTAAGAAATGTAAATATTGTTTTCATGTCAACAATGCTTGGTAATCATGTAAAATACAGTATAAAGCAACGCGATGTGCAATTTGTCGACAATTACTTCATACTTCGTTAGCAGAGTTAGTTGAGGTTGCCTAGAAAGCGGTTTGTCCCTGACTCGAGTCCTATTCGAGAAGGAACATTTTTTAATAAATTTTTCTGCCTTAACTCGTTCCTTTGATTACGGTATCCATCTATTATGCAGTTGTATAAAAAATTTTCTGTTAGTCATT